AGACACAGCCAGTGACGGCTCAGTCGACCACGGAGGCAGAGTATATTGCAGCCGGGGAGGGCGTGAAGGAAGCGTTGTTCGTGCGTGGTGTTCTGTCGTTCATTGCGCCCGAGACGAGCGGTGCCACGATCAGGGTCCGTGAGGACAACGAGGGGGCTCTCGCGTTGGTGCAGAACCCTTTCAGCTCGGCGAGGAGCAAGCATATCGACGTGCGGTTCCACTTCATCCGCGAGCTCTTCAAGGCGGGCAAGATCACCGCAGATTATGTCTCGACAGAAGAGCAGCACGCCGATATGCTGACCAAGGTCCTTGGTAGGGGCAAGTTGGAGTACCACCGGAAGGCTCTGATGAACCTGCCGATGTAGGGTTCTGGCCTCGTTTTCGTGGCGTTTGTTTTCTTTTGTTCTAGCACTGTGCGCGTCTCGGACCATGGTATTTCACGCAGGAAGCGTTGGGCAGGGGCGTCACCCGCGGCGGGAGCTTAGGGTTTTTGACCAATTGCTTCGGGTGAATAATCAGCGTGGCCTGTCCAATCTGTCCTGCCTTGGTCCTGCCCTGATAGTGCGGCCGTTGGAATCCTTCGTGATAGCGGCGGTTTCTTTTATGTTTTGAGTTTGTAGGCAAGGGTTTTTGATCCGGATGGCCGAGTTTTTCCCTTGCACCCGTTGTTGTATGAGTAACTTAAGTAGATCTGGAGTATCCATGCCCCACTGATGGTTTGTCAATAGCTTGACGAACCGGGGAGGGTGTTCGTGTGTCTGGATACGAGCATGGTAGATCTGCTAGCAGCACGGGGGGGGCACGTAGACAGGAGCATGCGTATGCCTGAAAAAGGCTACTATGTGTGGGCCCCCTTCCCCGAATTCGGGAGGGCCACTTCTTCCCTTCCTTTCCTCGCCCCCGCGGGTGCCTAACCAGAGAGAGTTAAAGCGTGTCTTCTCCTCCCAAGTACGGACACACCAACATTCTTAATGGGTCGGCCTTGTTGAAACACACTAACAAGTGATTAAAACCTACAGTTTAGTCTCTGTTATGTACCCACCTGCTTGGCTTTGGCCTCTGCTCTCATCCTCTTTGCGTCGTTTTCTTGGATAAACTTCTCGAACTTCACCACCTGCTCCCGCATGTCAACTTGCTTCTGCTCGAACTCCGCCTGCCACGGACCCGACAGATTGTGCACAACGTTCTCTCTTATTGGAGGCCCGCCCTTTGTAGAATATACATATGTATTCCCAACGACCGGTCGTTCGTACGGTGCTTGCCTTCTATTGCCGATGCTATGTAGACGAACACGGCTTGCTTCAACATCATCCATCCATCAATGGCTTACATGACTGTGGTTCAGCAAACGTACTCGTATTCTGTTTCCACCAAGACATACTCAGATAATATCCGCGCAATTTGAGCCCAAAACAACGTGGACGATGATTAATCCGGGTGTACACCGACTTCCTTCACAGTCAACGAGCGAAAACGACGGCTGAAACCTTTCGCGGGACAAACATCAAGGCCAAAACAATGCAGGAGAACGGAAGGCGAACAAAATCAGTTCAATATTATCTCTGCGGTGCTTTCTTCCTGCGTAGTCCCGGCTGATGCGCCCAGATGATACGCCGAAAGGCGAAAAAGTAATTGCCCAAAAGGAAAGGGATGACATGCCTGCACACACAGGAACATGTTGCTGGCACTGAGTCAGCCACACTTCTTACTTCCAAAAGCTCCTTCCGCAGATTTGTTGCCGTCCCGTGAACTCTGTAGTCAGCAGTAATGTACAGCATCACGTGTTCTATCTCTGTGTACATGTGGAGTCTAGACGTTGTCTTTTCGCAAGCCTACCTCGCGCTGGTCGCAGTTGTCCATGCGGGTGTTATACTCGTCTTTCATGAACTCAAGCGCATCGTCCACCTGTTGGGATAGCACGGCACACACGATGTCCACACGAAGCATACGGCGAGGACCGTCCGCAACCACGCTCGGTATATGAATAAGCAGCGTCATGCAACATCTGCGTACTCCCAGCGGCACCAGCGACCCGCACTGTACGCAGCGTGGTATTCACCGAACAAGTGTGCATATTTTTGTCACGGGTACCTGTCAACTACAATGAAGTGACGGCAGTATGCGTACGAGAGGATGTGCAGCTGCTTGCTGTAGTCTAGACTAGTCTACATACACGGCCGCATTGAACGACGTTGTCTCTGTGGACGAAAAAAAACGACGGACCGCCGTAGACTCGACATTGATTGTCACACGGAGAAAATCAGTACAAACTGGTACCAGTTTACGACAATGAAGTGACGGCAGTAGTCTATGCGTAGGAGAGGATGATACAGCTGCGTAGTTTAGTCCGCACTTTCTTCACATAACGACGTTGTTTCTATGGACGGAAAAGGCACGACGAACCGCCGCAGATTCACCATTGATTGTCACACGGAGCTAATCAGCATACATTGGCGTTGTATATACGTCCTTTCTACAAAGCCGTGGACAGACCTCGCGCATCTCCTTCTTTTTCTTGAGGAGTAGCGTGGACTGGCTTGTCTGCGCCACGCCAGCCACCATCTCCTCGAGCTGATCCGCGTCGACGGCATCTTCTGCTTGGCCGCCCCTTCTCTTGCCCTTCTGCGTCAGGAACACCCCCTCCTCCTTGTTGGCCATAGCTGACCTGCTATCGTGATGTCTTCACTACTGTAGCAGCCTCTACGTGTGTGCTGCCGGCTTGCTGCGCTGATTAGAGCACAAGAGAACCGAGATCAACTACACATGACTTGAAGACACAAACGGTTTCATCGCAATATCTTACGCTGGAAAAAAAACAAAACGCTTTTTGATCTGAAACCCGGGGACGGGGAACGGGGGGTTTGGTTTGACTCCGTCCCCAAGTTGCGGTCCTGCTTTGTGGTGATAGGGTTTCGTCAGTGCGCTCACTGCCTCGCGGTCTTCCGCATCTCTCATGAACGTACGGGTTGGGCGTAGTGTTGGATATTTTTTTCGACGCCAATTTGTAGTCGGCCTGAGGACATAGATACATTAATAACCCTAACCCTAACCCTAATAATAAGCCACTTTCCCCTGGATCCAGTGATATTTATGTCGACCCCGCTTTAAGGACGCACATGGTTGTTCCTGGAAAAAAGCGTCCGTAAAGCGGGCTTGCGTCCTTAAAACTCAGGGGACGATAGCTCACCATCCCCGTGGCCATTGGAGGCATGTTATACCTCAACCTACGCGTCTTTTGCTAAGGAAGGGGGTGGTACGAAAAGTCAGCATCGCCGAGACGACTGACAACCTTTTGTTTGTTGACGACGAACATATTTACAACACTTGAAATGAATGAGATGTACAGCAGTCAGGGGCGTGTTGAAAACAACTACAGCAGTACACGAGTTTGTACTTGGCCAACTAATGTAGTACTGCATAGCTGGCAGCGGAAGGAGGAAAGAAAGTCCAGAGTAGACATATAGACTAGACTAGAACTATTTGATTGATTGATTGATTATTTGATTCTTGTGAAACAAGAAAAAAAGAGCGTATTTCAGCGTCGCACCGAGGAACTCCAGTACATACAGATCACTGTTGTCGTGCCGGCGGAGACCAAAAGCAACCCTGATGGCTTTTCCTCCCACATACCAGTCTAAATATTATCGCGAAGAGTTCCCTGAACCTCCCCCCGCGGCTTGGCTCTACGGCTCTGTTGAGTTTCACGAGTAAACGAATGAACGGCGGTCTTCGAAAAAAGGTACTGCGTCTCTCACGGTACTCACTCGTCATCACCCTTCCCCCTTCGCGTACAAATACAGATAGCGCCCGCAGTACAGAAAAATCATGTTGAGAAAAAAGGCTCAACTTTGCACGAAAAATAAGAAAAGAGGGCTAAGTAAGAAACATAATAGCTCAATCTCGGCCACAACAACGTAAGAAACGCCCCAATAAGAAACGTGAAGGTGCGATACCCTCATGATGACATCAGAAATCTGCGGTGCTCCCAAAACCCCCTGCCAAGCTGAACAGAAGTAGTGCATTCATTCATTCGTTTTGGTAGGGGGGGGGGGGGCNACACATCGCGGACAATCATATGCTCTCCGCTGTTGTATGGGTTTGATGGCACTCTCCACCACCTCTCTTGAGGGCTTGATGATGTGGATTGTCCTCAGAGATCAAACGACAGAAGAAAGAAAATACGAAGTACTTGTAATATAGTCTAAGGAATAGGAGAATCGTGAGGATGCGACAGTCCAAAGGAAGAAGAAATAAATGCCATTTACGAAATGGATGACTTGGGCCGGTACTTCGACCGAAAAGTAGGGATTGGTGAGGCTCGAACCGATTTTGACGTTTCTTATCTGCGGGCGCTATCTGTATGATCGAACGTCCTCCAAGCGAGGGATAACCTCGCCCTCGGTGAGGGACGAGGTTATGCACGACTCTTTTTTTGGCGGCATCAGATGGACCGCCGGTAGATGGGAGGAATCTATCCATACCAACACCCAGTTGCAGCTGCAGCAGCAGACCGCTCGCTACTTCTGCTGTCTGTGCGTCGCTACTTCTGCACTCACTGTGGTGCGTGGTTCGTGCAAAGAGCGGCCCGCAGGCCCGCAGAACACAAAAAAGGGGGTACTCGGCAGAAAAATGTGTGTACCCCATCATCGCATGTTCTGCTGGCCCCCGGTCTTTCAGCGGGGAGTGTCCTTAACGCGAGCGTCCTTAAAGCGGGGTCGACTGTAGATTCAGGCTTCCTTATTGGTAGGTGGAGGTGCAGTCACACGGGCCGGGCTTTTTCTCGTAACATGCCCAAACAAGGTAGGAAGCACACAAATCGACTTCACGCTGGACGAGGGAGTGAGCGGCTGAATGTATTTTCGTATTTTCATTGGTCAGCCCGTTAGCGCGGCCGATGCTAAAAAACAAAGGCAGCACCATACGAGATGCATAATAGACTGGCAAAATAGCTCCAGCAGGCACACCACTTGTGCATTCGCCTCAGCAGGGAAATTGTTCGGGTCCAAAGAGGCAGTTTTTCTCGTTGGGATGGGGAACGTGAGACGTCGTGTACATGTTTGCTGGTGTAGCAGGTGGGAAGCTGTGCGATTACTTGTACATAGATAGGTCCTTGCAGTACCGTACATCGTGAGACAGTATCGAGGACGATAGGAGTTCCAATGATTCACATTATCGATACAGGCAGTCAAAACAAGAAGTTCTCACAGGAAGCCAAATCATTGAATACACCACATGTCCGTATCGCACCTTCCCTGTTTTTCCCTTTAGACGTGGTGAACATGTGCACGAATGCATCATTCCCGAGGACAAAACAGGCAAACCGACGAAAAAGCACGAATATTCTCGTCGATCCGTACACGGGACG